CACTGTCGGGACGCGCCGCGCTTCCACGTGGCCCGCTGTTAGCCAAGCCCACGCGGAGCGAGTCCTGCGCTGACCGGGCAGCCCCACCGACAGGCGCAGACTGTGGCTTGTAGAGAAAAGCGTGTGTCCTGAGCAAGCGGGTCCTTGAAGGCAGGCAAGCCCACCCGTCACCCGAGGGCTGGGACTCGGGGCCCTCTGGCCTGGCCTCCTCTGGCCTGGCCTCCTCTGTCCCTCAGCCTTCCCCCCTCCCTTCTGCCCACAGGGCACTTGTGTGTGCTGTGGGCAGTTGCTAGAATGGACGCAGGATGCGTCTTCACATCTGAGTAAACCCAGCGCTTCTGCCTCTCAGGATGTGCTCCGAATTGCAGTCTTTATTCCTTGGAAACGGTTGGGTCTTTTCTCATTTTTCAGTGTTTTTGTGCTGACTCTAATACTCCTCGATTAGTATTTGCATTTGTGCACCTGTATATGTTACCAGAAACATAAAATGTGGCTATGTTTTTTAAGATCTCAGCAGCTGAGGAGTTTCTCTTCTTGGAAGATACACTGACATTCTCATTTAAATGTGAGCTGCAGCCATTGCATACATGTTGTGTATATGACTGAACATCAAATCAAATGTAAAACGACAGCGTTACAAATGAAAAGGCATTTCCATTATTCATCATCTTTACATGCTGTCCATTCAAGCAACGGGCCTCCCCTGCCCTCAAAGGGTCCCGAGAAACTTGTCCATTCTATTTTACCTCTCCCTGCAGGTCTCTGGCTAATACAGAAATCACCAGAAACTCAGAAGCTGCCTAAGGAGTGTATACTCAACAAGTAAGCATAAACTACAATGAGCATCCTATGTTTTACAAATTCAAGTTCTTAAAAAATATTTTGAGCCAGGCGTGGTGGCTCATACCTATAATCCCAGCACTTTGAGAGGCCGAGGGGAGAGGATTGCTTGTGCCCAGGGGTTCAAGGCCAGCCCTGGTCTCTACAAAAAAAATTAAAAATTTAGCCAGGTGTGGTGGCAGGACCCCAGCGTGAGGTTTCCAAAAGCTGGGGAGGTGGTGGGTGGCACATTCCCTTTCAGACTCTTGTTTCACTCTTGAGATTTCCCTAGATGTGAAGCACCCGTGGTTAGAGAAAGGGCCTGCCATCCACTGCAGATAAGGACTTAACCCCTCAAGGGAGAGCTGTCAATGACCTTCTGCAGGCTTTGAGGAGGCCAGGGTCAGGGACAGAGTGGGGACACCACTGCTGGCCACATAGCCGATCACCAAAACAAAGCATCACATCCCAGACCCTAGTGCTCTGTGGGTGAACAAGGAGCAGGGAAGACAGGCACGTCCTCCAGGAAGGACACCGTTCTCAGGTTGCCCCCAGAGCTCACAGAGCGACACGGCATGGAACTGTGCTGCTCCCTGGGACTTGGAGGGAGGACACCGCTGCCCATGACTCTAGCTTAGGATTTGTGCAGGAAGGCACAGTGCTTCTCAGCCAGAAGAGGAACCACAGTGTGTCATCACATCAGGCTGGCTCGTCACTCCAGAACAGCCTGGCCTGATTTGACCCATGACAGGCGCAAAGGGGTGCCAAAACTCAGATCCTGGGTGCAGCGTAAAAACACGGCAGTTTTTGTTTTTTGAGTCGGAGTCTCACTCTTGTCCAGACTGGAGTGCAGTGGCACGCGCATGGCCACTGCAGCCTCGACCTGCTGGGCTCAGGCGATCCTTCCTCCTCAGCTTTCCAAATAGCTGGAACCACAGGCACATGCCACCATGCCCGACTAATTTTTTGATTTCTTACAGAGGTCTTGCCAAGTTGCCTGTGCTAGTCTCAAACCCCTGGGCTCAGGCAGTCCCCTTTCCTCCACCTTCCAAAGCGCTGGGATGACAGATGTGAGGCATCACGCCTGGCTAAAAACATAGTTTTTAAAATAAAATCTAAACAAGAATCATAGTTTCAAAGTAGCAGCTCCCTCAGTGATGTTTTGGTTCTCTCTAGAGTTAAACTGTCCCTTCCCAGACCAGATCCCAGTGATCCAAGTCAGGATCACACCAGGTGCCATTGATGGTGGCAGTTTGCCATTTGTGTTCACACCCCTTGCGGCAGGACTCATACTTTCTGGCCCAGACTGTGGTGCCCTGTGGTGTCCTGTGCCGTGTGATCCGCCCCTACCCTGGGGCATTCTGTGCAGCTCTGATGCCCTCAGCCCCTACCCTTTGCTCGCAGGGTCGCAGCCGCCATCACCCCCGTGTTCTCCTGTTGTGTCTGCTGGGCCACCCTGGTCTCCTTCACTTTACCCTCCTGCAGTCAGCGGGGGACACAGCGTCACTGTCATCCTCTTCACTGGCATCAGAGCAGTATATCCATACAAGGCAGCCAGGCTCTGCGAGTTTGCTAATTTCCAAACGCCTCTGTCACCACCTCACGCCCCCACCCCATCACATGGCCCTGAGGACCTATATCCTGGTGCGTTCTCTAAGAGTCCCTGCCTGCTGAGTCTCCCCTGATGGCACCCCAGGGGGACTCGCCTCCTCATAGAACCGTGGAATGTTGGGAGCAGAGAAACAAAGGGCCCATGGTGATGCAGGCTGTCCACCTGGGCAGTCACTGTCCCCTTCCTGGGCCCTGTAGGAAAGCAGAGCCACTGAGCCAAGGAGAAACAGAGTCAGGTCTGACTTCCCACTGGCTTCCCGGGCATGGCACCACTGTGCTCACTGTGGCTTTCTGAGCGGTTATCTTCAGGAGGGCAGGCCCTGCCACCCTTTGCAGGGCTTAGGGTGAGTGCCCTTCCCTTTGCCACCTGGGCGCCCAGTTGGGGCCAGCAGCAGCCCTGAGCCAGCATCCACTGGGAGGTCACAGAGATTCTGTGGGGTCAGCTCCAGGACCAGGCCACTCGCAGGTGGATCCTGGGCCCACCGCATGATACATGGAGACGAGAGCACAGGCAGTCTA